TTTAAATATATATATATATATATATATATATCTGTATTCAAAGCCTCATCTGCCAAAAGGACAGTAACTGAGGTTGCTTAGCAACCTTTGGCCTTCATGAGAGAAACTGTAGTTACCATTAAGTGATCACAGGTACACACACACACATACACACACACAAGCGAATTCAAACGGCGGGTGATATTGCTTAGATGAATTAAGAGTTTGTTAACCTTCATTTTATCAGTAAAAGATTAATGAGGACAGAGGAAGCTTGTTCTGTAGGTAGAGGAAGCTGATAAGGGAGTTTTATGGCAAACACACAGTGCTGAATCAGCGACTTCCATTGTTTTAACGGAGGCGGCAAAGGGGAGATGGGTGTGAGAGATATATTATACACTTACTAATACACATTCAAAGACCTTCCCTGGTGTGCAGAAGCATTTTTATATCATAAAGCTGCCCGTTTCCCTATATAGTGTAAATTCAGACATCAGTAAAATGTGTTCAGGTAGCTGACGAGGTTCACACACGCACAGAGAATGACAAGTCAATTACTCTCATATCTGCTGACCCAGCATCTCATAAATTACATTTTATTAAAAGCACTTAACACATCCATCTGTTCACGGGGTGATAATATATATTGGGCTATGGGTTTTTTATGATAACATCAAATGTCAGTATATTAAATGAGTTTCATTAGAAGGCATGGACAATAGTAAAGACATATGCTGTGCTGTGTTTATGTGTTGAAGGACTTAAAACTTAGTACTGAAAGTATAATACTAATCAAAGGATGTGCTTGACTGAGTCATTAAAAAACTAAATACTAAAATAATACTTGCCTGATTCAAAGGCAATCAAGAAAATCAGAAAGATTAACCTCTCTAAACTGCGACAAAAAAAAATCAACATGAGAGATTGAGGTGTCACCATGCAGTAAAATAACTTGAAAGTAAGTAAGGTGATATAACTTCATGTTGATAAAATGAAATTAGCATCTGCAGACTACAGAGTGTGTTTTTTTAGAGGATGCTAATGTTGTTCTCATTGCAGTACTGCCACCTAAAGGTCAACACTGTTAATACTGAATCTGTATTTTATTTAATTCTGGTGTCAATATGAAAGGGTGCGTATGTATTTTTGTGACTTGTTTTTGACAGACGTATCAAAAAGGGGAGTTCATGCCGAGTTTGGTGTCAAATTGAAGCTTCTGTCGTTTCTGGTATCTCACCCTCATCCTGTAGCAAACAATCACAACCCCACAGATAGTTAACATGTATGACACAATAAAACTTTAACAATGGCATTAATTTATATTCATTTTAAATAATAACTTTTTGTTTTTTTAATAATTAAATTACTTAAAAGTTGGCTTAAATGGAAAATATTTTAATAAATATCTACAACAAACATTAATGTTACATTTTTAATATAATTATATCTTTTACATATGTTATTTCAATTAAAACATACATGATACATAAAAGCAATGGTAAGATTTGAATTAAAAGTGGTTTTATTCATTTTACTTTTATTCAGAAGACATTAAATTGATCAAAAGTCACAGACTAATGTTAAAATAATTGTAACGTTACAAAAGATTTTATTTCAAATAAATGCTGTTATTTTTAACTTCATATTCATCAAAGAAACCTACAAAAAATGTATCATGGTTTACACAAAAATATTAAGCAGCACAACTGTTTTCAGCATTGATAATAATCAGAAATGTTTCTTGAGCAGCAAATCAGCATATTATACTGATTTCTGAAGGATAATTGATCACAGGAATAAAGTAAATTTATTCAAATAGAAAACAGTTCTTTTAAATTGTAATAACATTCACAATATTACTGTTCTACTGTATGTTTGGATCAAATAAATGCAGCCTTGGTGAGCATAAGAGACTTCTTTAAAGACAAACAAACAAACCTCTTACCTTCTGAATGGTAGTATAAATTATTATTTGGATATACGGTATATTAACTACTGATCTAGACAGCATTACATACTGTTTGCTAATGACTTATTAGAAAGTGTAACCATTGTATTATATTATCGTGGTTGTATTACCTGATCTCATGCAGTTTGATGCCCTCGTTGATAAAGACCAGCGGGATCAGCCAGAGGATTCCTAACACCCAGGATGCCATGGGAATATCCGAGATACAGAACATGTGGTCAGGGTCATGCCACAAGAAGCGGGAAACCATTGCCAAAGAAGCATTAAGAACTGGCCTGTGAGGGAAACAGAGACAGCCTGGTATTTAAATGACCATTCCATAACTTCCATAAAAATGCTCATGCTTCTGAAGTTATTAATTAGACTTTAAAGGGATAGTTTGGAAAAAAAAAACTATGGAAGTCAGTGGCTACTGTCAGATGTTTGGTTACACACATTCTTCAAAATATCTTATTTTGTGTTCAACAGAAGAAAGAAATGCATACAAGTTTGGTATAACTTGAAAGTGAGTAAATTATGACAATTTTTTTTTATGTACAGAACACAAAATGTATCAATATGTCATGATAAAAAGCTACTTACACAATGCAGATGACAGCACACCAGCAATGGTTGCTCAGCGGGCTCTGTTTCCACATGGGAGCTGAGCGATGCACATGACTGATAGATGTACACACTTAACAAACACACAGACACAGGGAACACCAGGTTCACACATCTTCACTTTCAGTATGCTGAATGATTTAGCTTTAAAATATGATGCAAACTTGATATCATTGAAGGAACTGTTCAACCAAGAATAAAAATACTGGGAAAAAATGAAAATAGCACCAGCAAGTTTGGTATAACTTGAGGGTGAGTAAATTATGACAATTTTTTTTTAATGTACAGAACACAAAATGTATCAATATGTCATGATAAAAAGCTACTTACACAATGCAGATGACAGCACACCAGCAATGGTTGCTCAGCGGGCTCTGTTTCCACATGGGAGCTGAGCGATGCACATGACTGATAGATGTACACACTTAACAAACACACAGACACAGGGAACACCTGGTTCACACTCGGACACATCTTCACTTTCAGTATGCTGAATGATTTCGCTTTAAAATATGATGCAAGCTTGATGTCATTGAAGGAACTGTTCAACCAAGAATAAAAATACTGGGAAAAAATGAAAATAGCACCACAAAGGAATTGTCACTGACTGGCATTGAGCAGCACAAGAAAGGCGATGACTTTCTGCACCAGGCTTAGACCACCTGAGTGCCTGCCGTACCAATCGGGAGACCACACTGTTGAATTCCTGCAGACAAACACGCAAAACAGATTCACTTTTACTATTATACTGTATATTATTTCAATATCTCAGCAACACAACAAGGGTGAATTTGCACAAAAAAACATCTATCTAATTTTTTAAAAACAGTATGTGAAACAGTATGAATTGTGTAGTATGATACATTGTTGATACATGACTTCATGATATCCAAAAAACAATTGTGAACAATTGTTCACTTGCTCACCAATGGATCTTCTGCAGTGAATGGGTGTCGTCAGAGTGAGTCCAAACAGCTGATAAAAACATCTCAATAATCCACAAGTAATCCACACCACTCCAGTCCATCAATTAATGTCTTGTGAAGTGAAAAGCTGTGTTTTTGTAAGAAACAAATTCATCAAGACTTTTTAACTTTAAAGTGACCAGTCCATAATCCACAATAACGCTTCTGCTAGTGAAAAAGTCCATCCCCTGTTATCCTCTCACATCGAAATCCACTGACATATTTGAAAACGGCACTTTATCAGTGCATATTTCTGACGTGATTCAGATGATACAAGATTTTCACTGGAGAAAGCAACATTATGGAAAGAGGACTCAATGTTTTTAAGCTTTAAATGTCTTAACGCTGGATTTATTTATTACAAACACACAGCTTTTCACTTCACAAGACATTAATTGATGGACTGGAGTCATGTCGATTAGCTGTAGATTATTGTGTGATGTTTTTATCAGCTGTTTGAACTCTCATTCTGACGGCACCCATTCACTGCAGAGAATCCATTGGTGAGCAAGTGATGTAATGCTACATTTCTCTAAATCTATTCTGATGGAGAAACAAAATCCTCTATATCTTAGATGGCCTGAGGGTGAGTACATTTTTATAATTAGTTCATTTTTGGGTGAATTATTCCTTCAACTTTTGGCAGACCGAGAGAAAATGTTTTTTTTTAATAAAGAATAAAAATCACAATTCATTTGTCACACAGAAAATAGAATATCTGTAGTAAAAAGAGTAGAACTATGTTAGAATGCTATTAGTCTAAACGCATCACATACACTTTCACATACATGAGCAGCGATGTTGGGTGACACAGATCTTCATCTTGATGGTTAATATCAAGACAGAAGCTGTGCAGCATGAGGCCAAAGCATGTGAGAAAGGTGCACACGGTGAGACCAAACTTCACCAGGAAACACAGCACAAACAGCCGCAATGTCTGCAGAGAAATACACAAAACTACTGCACATCACTTTAGCTGATCAATTATACAATGAGTGTTATGCCTATCAAAACAGCTTAGAATTAACTCAATAAGCAGATGCTCTTTTGTGAATATTATCCAGGCCAATGAAAGATGAATTGAAATATTCAGAAAATACATTACAGACCCCTTTTTAAAAGCTTTTCCTGTTTCTTTACCTTTTTTGGTATGAATCTGAGATTTTTCCCAGTAGGAACTTTCATGATGGAATTGTCAGATGGCTTTCCCAGAAGGGACACACTGGAAAGAGAAAGGAATTTAGTTAAAAGAGAGTAAATAATAATAAAACGATGTCTTCAAAAACATACACAAAACTAAATCAGGACAGCTATAATACACGTTTATTTGATCAAACATTCAAGATCAGGGCAATTTCAATTTTAAGAACACACATATTGACTGAATGTTTAGGAGCCCTCTCAGTTTTTATTATTGATTTTTTTGGGTCATTTTGTGCATGTATTTGGATGCATGTTATTGTTTATTATATTCTATTTTACCTCAGTAAGGGAAAATAGAAACAGGACAGAAAGAGGACATCACTTGTGCCCAGAGGAGGAGGAAGTTGACACACACATGCCAGAATCTGTGGAAATAAACAAACACACACACACCAGTTTACTCAGCTGCACCTGTCAAACTCTGAGCTTTAGATGTAAATCATGAGTGTGTTACTCATTACTTCTGACAGAAATAGCAAAGTCAAAGTAACTAAGTGCATGTGGGACATATGAAAGAGACCAGTGCTATAAAGTCCTAAATGTGCCCTAAAAATGAACAATTAAATAAAAAAAAGATTACTTTTAAATGATTTACGCTAAAATTTATTTATTTGCATATATTTGCAAACTGAGACATAAACTAAATGAATAGATAAATCATTTGTTCAATGCATGTTTAATTAATTACATTTTATTAATTTAAATATATTAATAATTTTAAATACAGACACAATTGTGTTTATGTAGTTAGACTTAATTGATATCTATTTATCTATCTATCTATCTATCTATCTATCCATCCATCTCTCTCTCTCTCTCTCTCTATATATATTGAATGTATATATTGATTATAATATTACTGTATATGAAAGTGAAAGTGACGTGACCCATACTCGGAATTAGTGCTCTGCATTTACCCATCCAAAGTGCACACACACAGCAGTGAACACACACACCGTGAACACACACCCGGAGCAGTGGGCAGCCATTTATGCTGCGGCGCCCGGGGAGCAGTTGGGGGTTCGGTGCCTTGCTCAAGGGCACCTCAGTCGTGGCATTGAAGGTGGGAGAGAGCGCTGTACATTCACTCCCCCCACCTACAATCCCTGCCGGTACGAGACTCAAACCCACAACCTTTGGGTTATGAGTCTGACTCTCTAACCATTAGGCCACGACTTCCCCCGTATATTATTTGTATTGACCTTAACTGGCCTTTTTTGGATATAAGAAATTATATTTCAATGTAATAATAAAAGTATGTTAATTAATTAATGCATTTTAGTTTTATTAATTATTATTATTATTTATTTGCATTATGCATATGCTTTATTTAGGTGACACTCCTAGTCCTCTCTTATACCTGAATGAGGACAAGGGACAGCTGACACTGGAGCAAAAACAGAAAACACTTTCTGATGCCTGCCGTGGTGTGACGTGCCTGAAGAAAACAACATGATTGTATTTATAAAAATTACTAATATATTATACATCCATTAGTGTACATGTGTGTTAAAGCGTGTCCACATTCACCTGTTTGATGAGCCTGATGACGGTGTTGTTGTCTTGTTGGTTAAACTGTACTGTGCAAGCCAACCCACAGATGGCGCTAGAGAGCTGAATTACACTTAAAGAGTCTGATGTGTTCAAAGCTGCATCAGAATTGGACCAACAACATGTGGGAACCAGAGGATCTAAAGCAATGCTGTCAATTAATAAGTCAGAAACAATGGATAATGTAAAGTATATATATAATATAGTATAGTATAATATAATATAAAAATTCATCAAATAAAAGGCAAATGATTCCACTTAGAAATCTTGGCTATATAGAAAAACCAGGGTTAGTTTCATTGTGACAATTTAACCCATATAGTACAGCAACATGCTAATAGGCTGCTAACAGGTCACAAAAGGTCAACATGTGTTTGGTGAAATGTATTATGCTTTTGCGGACAATATAGGTGGCAATTTTTATGCCACAATGTTTCATGCTGGCATTACAATCAGTTGGGATTAGGGTGTATTGTTAAAATATTAAAATAAGTCATGTCATGTCATGAGTAAATCCGTTCTTGGCAGGTTATTGAGACAAATGAGAAGAGGTGGGTTAAAGGCTAGACAGATCACCTGATATCACTTTGTAAGAAAATGTCATTGTTGTCGATGTTTTGACTGCTCCCGAGGCAGCACACGACCTCTCCATACTCCTGCATGATACACACCATCTCACATTCAGCTACACACACACACACACACACACAAACAAGCACAGTTTAGAATGGTGGCTTTGTTGATGGTGATATAAATAAGTCTGAGCAGTGTTGCCAGAACTAGAAAAAAAGCAACCAGCTCTGACAAAGCAGGCCTAAAACTAGTGACTGCAGTTTTTTGTGCTTTCTCAGGGAGGTGTTTATGACTCAGAAATTAATTCATTTCATTCATCTGATGAAGAGATATTTTTAAGCAACATACGTTTTAATTATATACAACATTATGAAAAGATGCATCAGAATAAGTGGGATGAGAACAATTAAAAGGTAAAAAAAAAATATGCACAATAAGTTTGGGGTCAGTAAGATTTTTTTTTTATGTCCACCAAGACTGCATTTATTTGATCAAAAATACAGTAAAATCAGTAATACTGTTAATTATTATTGCAATTTAAAAGAACTGTTTTCGATTTCAATATATTTTAAAATATATTTTTTACCTAGCTAAATTTTTTAGCTAAACATTTCTTGTTGAAAAAAACTGTGCTGCTTAATACTTTCATGGAAACAGTCATATCTTTTTTGGCGAATAGAAAGTTCAAAAGAGCAGCATTTATTTAAAATAAAAAATGTGACTTTATAAATGTCTTTATTATCAATTTTGATCAGTTT